TGTCCCTGAATGTTTGTCCACTTTTGACTTTTGAAACTGTTCATCTAAGCATTTTGACTCATCAAATTTTCTCAATGTGTAAGCCTAAAAATAGTCATGTGTGATCTTGTTTGATTCGTCTTAACATATAGATTATTAATATATAATTTTTATAATTTTTTAATATACAAATTATAAGATAAAATGGATTAAAGAAGTGCATTGGATGGTGTGCAAAAATGAAAGTAGACAAACACTCAGGGACGGAGGAAGTATTTTGTATAGCTTTTTATATATACTTCCTCCACCCCAAAATCGATGTCACCTCTTATCCATACTTTTTATTCTTATACCAATTTATTTAGAGTGATGAGATTTTACACATTATTCGGAGAATGATACTCATTGTGGGACGGAGAGAGTATAATTTTTTAAATGTATACTCCCTCTGTCCTTGTAAATTTTCTCATATAGTCCTTTTTATTTGTTTTGCACTCTTCCATATATTTTTTAATTATTTTTTTAATATTTAAAATACCACAACTATATTCACTTACTCTATTTATTACACTAAAGTACCTCCTTTAATATATTCCGCAAGTTTTCATTAGGGTCGTGCTAGGGTTCAACCAAATGGGTGGCAGTCTAGACCTGACAAAACAGACCCGAAACCGATTACCCAAACAGAATGATCCAAAACCGAAACCAAAATAATCCGAAAAATGAAGATCTGATTTATAATCGAATAACTGAAATGATACGAACCGAACAGAAACTGAACTAAATATATTTATACTCGATTTAAAACTGAAATCGATTAGATCCGAAACCAATTATATTCGAAACCGGTTAAATCTGAACCGATAAGATAAGAAACCGATAAAACCAGAAACCAATAAAATCCAAAATCGATTAAATCCAAAATTGGTTTTGCCTGACAATAAATATATTATATTTTTGTACATTAGTGAACAAATACATTTGATTTCAATTTTTTTATTTTACCATATGAACTAATATTACTTAATCCCTCCGTCCCACACAATATTTCTTGTTTTGATTTTTAAGGGATTTAAGAGGAGTATATTTTGTCATTTTGGTGTTGAATTTCCAAAAAAGCCTTGGATGTGATATGTAAAAGTAGATGTGATGGGTAGATTAGTAGTGAAAAAGTGTGATGTGATAGATATGTTAAGAATTATTAGGGGTAAAAGCAACTTTTTAATAGAAATGAGATAAGTATTTTGGGACGGATTAAATTAAAAACGAAAGGAGAACGATTTGTCGGACGAAAGGACTACAACCTATGTCTAGAATGAATTACCATATCTAAACAAAATGTTAAATTTTATGTTTTTAATTTTTTTTATAAATTTGTATAAAAATAAACATTACAACTTACATAAAACATGTTAGTTAAAACTCCTAAAAGCACGGTTAAAAATATTTTTTTCACATGCAATATTGTATGGTTGGCCAAACACTCTCAGACCGGTGCTGAGGAGCCCTCGGGGATGGGGTGTCATCCTTTTTGTATGGTGGCCAAACATGTGCCTTGAATTGCATTTAAAGAAATTCCTGTGGATATGAGTTAAAAAGTATAAAATACAAAAATTGAAGTCTTTAGTCGTTTTAAGACCAAATAGGAGTATAATGACAACGTGTTGTAAGAATGCATATTGGCAGTGTGATTGAAAAGTGATGATAGTGTAATATGTCAGTGTGATCAGTCAACCGTCGGCGATCTGCGATGGTACTCTGGTGGCCGGTGGCGAGGAATGGCAGCGTGGCGGTGATAGTTTGGCAGTTACAATGTAACAATGTGGTGAGTGTGGGCGTGTGGCAATGTAACAATGACAGTGTAAACTCATATTTTTGTCTAAAAAGACTTATAACTCCTATTTTGGTATTTTCAAAGTTTTTTACTCATATCCAGGGATTATCCCTTGCATTTAATTTAACTCAAGTTTTATCTAACTGCATTCAATTTCACTCAATATCAACATATTTTAACTAAATTTTATGTGATTTGGTTATCTAATTTTATTAATGTTATATCAAAACTCAATATATTTTTCTTCCATAATTTGTAATCTAAAATTATAAAAGATGACTAAAAAGATAAAAATAAAAGATATGTAGGATGAAGGAAGTATAAAAAAATATGAGGTGATGAATTGATGATACATTCATAAAAGCGATATGACAAAAAATGAACGAATAATTAAATTTTAGTTCAATAATAGCATATATGCAAATATATCCAAAACCAAAATATAGCCGAACCGAAATATGTCCAAATCAAAATATATCTAAACTAGAATGTATCCGAAACCAAAATCAATCCGAATCGATTGACATCCGAATTGAGTCTGAACCGAAACGGAATCGGAAAATGTATGAAACTGAAATTGAACCGAATTAAGCATAACATATATCTTAAAGATATCAAAACCAAATTATTCCAAACCAAAACCGATCTGATTGATCTGATAGCCACCTGTAGGTGCTACCATGGGTGCACTCATGCTTCGCACAGACAAACATAGGCGTGAATCGCCTCTACGACACAGATGGGTGCACTTGTAGAAGTTTTAGGAGAATAACTTTGTTGATTGAATTATGTCAAAGGAACCGACTCAACCAAAAGCTCAAGCTTGTGGTTGTGGCCCAAGAACAGTTATTTATATTCTAACACGCCCCCTCACGTGCAGGCGTAGTCTTTTTCGAGCCTTGCACGTGAAACTTTAATTTTTTTAAACTGGGTGGCGCTGAGTTTCGAACCCGTGATCTCTTAGTCAACGAGGCTCCGATACCATGTCAAAGAACCAACTCAACCAAAAGCTCAAGCTTGTGGATGTGGCCCAGGAATAGTTATTTATATTCTAACACGCCCCCTCACGGGCAGGTGTAGTTTTTTTCGAGCCTTGCACGTGAAACCTTAATTTTTTTAAACTGGGTGGCGCTGTGTTTCATAAATCGTCCCTTGGCTCTGATCGTCACGAGAACAGATAATAGTACGGTGACGTTCTTCTTGAGTGACAAGATAAAAGGCTCGATCCAAATCCGGGATGGGTTCGGTGCCAAGGATCTGGGAACGTGCATGCCCGTACTGTTCATCGTCCAGCCCTAACAAAAAATCCATAGTCTTTTCACGCTCAACCCGAGCATGGCAAACCGCCGCGGCTGGACACACGCATCCTCCGGTTGGATCTTCACACCCATAAAGTTGATTCCAAAGAGTGATGAACTGATTGTAATACGCCACAACACTCTGACCTTTTTGACGCAAATTATGTAATTCACACTTCAATTGATACATACGAGGGCCGTTGGAACCACCGCACCGTTTCTTGAGGTCATTCCACAAATCATAAGAAATCGTATGGTTGATAATACTGCGTTGAATGGATTCATCGACACTATTGCAAAGCCAACTGCAAATGATGGAATGGTTGGACTCCCACGCGCCCAGTTCGGCCTCATCAGTGGGTTTAGGAACACCTGTGGCTGTCAAAAATTTTGCTTTTCCACGGCCACCGAGTGCATGTGAAACAGCCTTCTCCCATACATCGTAATTATCACTACGTAGTACATATTTTGTGAGAGAATTACCCGGCCCCTCGGATGGATGTAGGTAGTATATCGAAGATGGATCGTGAATCAAGTTGGCTTTCTTTGTTGTCATGTTGATGATGAAAAACGCAGACCACACACAGGACAGCTACGGTACAAGGGAAACGCAGACCACACACAAAAAAACAGCAGCAACCGAACAAGAAGACAAGGAAGAAGCTACGACACGAGAGGCAATACCAAGCAGTAGCGAATTGCACAGGGGACGGACTTACACCAACAAAAAGGAACTGACTTTTCCGGCGAGACCAATGCACAGAGATGAACGTACCACACACGAGACACCTAGGGTTTTGTTTTCCTGTGCTCTGATACCATGTAGAAGTTTTAGGAGAATAACTTTGTTGATTGATAATTACATCCCAAGTGTGTATAAATACATGTACAATGGGTCGTGACCCAATAACCAATGTAGGCTAATACTAACACTAAATAATAATACAACAATTAATACAAATTACTCCAATAGCACTTATGCTTCACACAGACAAACACAAACATTAATCATCTGCGTTTATTTGTGCGAAACATGAGCGAACCTTTGATAGCACACATGTATTAACACTCTGGCATTATTCTTTTCAATAAGAGTATTCCACGAACTTCTACCAATTTTTAACCGTCCTTAAAACATAAAACATGAGAACATGATGTCGTAGGGGGAACGGAGGGAGTAGAACAAATTCTAACATGTCTTTTGATGACCAAAATTGATCTCATTTGACTGGGAAAAAAAATTAGCTTGAACACGGAGATAGTATTTCACAATTTCTACTCCGTATTGAGTAATGATGAGACAAAAATACTGAAATAGCGTGGAGTACAATTGAAAAAAAAACACTGTTTCAAAAAAAAAGAAAAAAAATACACCGTATCGTATCGTATAAAGGCCCCACTCTCCAAAGATTCATTTCTCACCGACCAATAAAATACTGTCAAGCCTTTTTGGATTATGTGCAATCTTCCTTTTTTTTTGTAGCGATTTTCCATTATCTCTAAAGTTTAGTTGGATATTCTCACTTAATTTACTCTCAAATTCTACGATTACAATTTTAAAAAAAAATTAAAACGATAAACCAAATAAATCATTTTAAGCTAAAATTTATAGGAATTTTATATAATTGACACTAAAAAAATCAAAATAGACAAATACATAAGGAAGAAGTAATCATTAAAAAGCACAGTAATTAAAGATTGTTGAATGAATAAGAGGAATCAATCGGGACAGAATATATATACGGATTATTCAACAATCACGTAACAAAGTCCATGTGCAGTTGTGCACCATGATATTTCGATCGCCATATATACTCCGTATATATAGATATGATCACTGTTTATGTATCTATATATAGAGGTTGGCATCTCCCATTGCTTGCCTTGCGGGTTATTTCAGAGCCCAGATTTAGAAAATCATTGGAGATCTTTTGGTTGGCCTGGCTAGTGGATTTCTTTTTTTTTTGGTGGGTCTTTGCTTTGTTTCCATACGAATTAAAGATCCCCACTTTAATTTTCTTGATCCATAAATTCTCTCTGAGATCGAGCGAGGAATTGAAGAGGAGGAATTGGAGAAGCAATAATAATGGGTATGGCTGCAGCGGATCCACAGTTCCATGTTCTTGCTGTTGATGATAGCGTCATAGACAGAAAGCTCATCGAGAGGCTCTTCAAGACCTCTTCTTGTCAAGGTTTCTTTTTCTTTTTCTTTTTTTAAGCTTTTGGTTGGATTGGTTCGTTCATTTTGGCACATGTTTTCGCATTTTTTTGGGGAGATATTTCATGGGTAATTTTTGAATTTGTTTTTCGGTACAGTTACTGCTGTGGATTCTGGCAGCAAGGCCTTGGAATTTCTGGGTTTACATGAACGTGATGATGATGATGATGATGTTCCCCAGGCAAATGTTTTTTCTTTTTTATGAAACTTTAGTCATGGATTTCTGGGTTTCTTTTCTTTATTTGGTTTTTCTGTGCAAATTGTCTGAATTGTTTTGATTGTTCTCTGGGATTTGCAGGAAATTGAAGTGGACCTTATAATTACTGACTACTGCATGCCTGGGATGACAGGCTATGATCTACTCAAGAAAATAAAGGTGTGCAGTATAATCTTTTCTTGGACTTCACTTTTGAGAACAACTAGATTGAATCTATTTGGAAACTGTTAATATTTTCTGCAAATTGTCTTCATAAGTAAAAAAGTTGTGATTTTGATTCTTAAAAATCCTTTTTTTTTGTGTGTGTGAATTCCAAGCAGGAATCAGCATCTCTGAGAAACATACCTGTGGTCATCATGTCATCTGAGAATGTTCCTTCAAGAATCAGCAGGTAAGATCCATCCCCGCCTTTCATGTTTTGCAGGGTAGGAAATTAATGGTGCAGATTTTTTAATAAAAATATTTACAGATGTATGGAAGAAGGGGCAGAAGAGTTTTTTCTAAAGCCAGTGAGGTTATCAGATGTGAACAAGCTTAAGCCTCATATGATGAAAACCAAATATAAAGATCCAGTGAAAGAGCCATTGTCATCAACACAAGTCACAGAACAGCCTCTTCTTCTGCAACAAGAGAAGGATGCCCCGCCACAATGCGCGACGACGGTAGAGGTGGAAATGCGGACCCCACCACCTCCGCCCCAAGAAGAGGAACTGCCGGTGGCGGTGGTGGTGGAGGATAATAATAAGAGGAAGGCTGGGGAAGAGAACCTCTCGCCGGAAAGAGCAAAGCCAAGATACAATAATGGTCTGGCTGCCGCTGCCGCTGCGGCGGTTTCTAACCTGTGATGATCATCGATCACTTGCAAATTTGAATTGGAAAACTTTTCCAAGTTTTTTTTCTCTCTCCCATTGTTTTAGTTCATTAGCCAAATGGAAAACATGTCATTTGCAGAGGGCTCTGCACCAGACATTTCATTGTAATTGGAAGACATTTCACCCCAATTTTGTTTCATGATATTATTATATAGCAAAGATGGGAGGAAAGTTGTCACTTTGTAGATATATGGTTGTCCTATTAAGAAAATGATGAGCTTAACGCGTTGCTTAAAAATGAGAAAGGAAGAAGAAAGTGTTTGGGTTGAAATTACAGTATAAAAGTCCAATGGATTATTAATTCAGGCCCGGCTATAAGCCGGAGAACCAAGAGCCATTGCTCTGCCCGTTAAGTGGCTCCCTATTTTTTTTTAAAAATTGACCACAATACAATGAATGCTTTATTGCAATGTTCTCAAAACCTGATCGGACGTCAATCCGGACGAATGACTGGGTCAAGGGCTAATCGGTCGAATTGGTCGACTCGTAGGTCAACGACCTGGTCAAAAACATAAAAATAATAATATTTCATATTATGTTATTTGATCTTTTTAGTTAATAGAAATATTTTAACTTATGTTTTTCCCTTTCCTGAAAAAAAACTTATATGTTTTACTTTTTCATCTAGTTTTTAAAATCATTGTGCATATACTATTTCACAATTTCAATTTTTATTCTATTACTTTTGTTAATATTCTATTATTCTTGTTATTATAAAAAATCACAAGTAATAGTGAATGTCTAAGAAACACTTAAATAATAAACCAATACTATTTTTTCAAAAGAGTAAATTTTTAGGTATAAACTAGTTATAATTAATTTTAGATAAAAATAAATAATGCCAAATATAATTTTTTAAATTTGTGGTTTTTTCTCTAATTTTTATTCTATTTCTATTATAATTAATAGATATTTCTTGATTTTTATAAATGATAATGTTTTTTAGATATAAATTATTCATTATTATTTTACCTTGAATGATTTTAAAAGTATAAAATGACGTCAAAAAATTTAAAAGTATAATATAAGTGCACCATACCAAAATGTTCATGTTAACAAATAGTTAGAGTTTTTTTTTAATTTACACAATTCATTTATCATTGAAACTGGGTCGACCCGGTTTGCCTGTTCCGCCGGATCAAGCGGGTTCTGACAGGCTAATGAAAAAGTGGGTTTTATAGTTGAACCAGACCAAAATACCTCCCGGTTCGTGGGTCAACCGATTAGACCGACCGGTCTGATCCGTTTCTAATAACACTGCTTTATTGTGAGAAGATAAATTCCAAAAAATGATTATTTGTAATTGGGTTATCTTTACAATTAATCCATCTCACAAATTAATACTCTTGTTTTCCATGCCTTTTAAGGTATTCTAAACGACAAAAATTCCATCGAAAAATGTTTTGAGACTATGCTACATGGAGAACAACATCAATGAAAAAACTATTCTACGGTATGAGGCGTGACTAGCAAGTAGAATAACTATACTCATACATTAGACCATCAGGTATGACGCGAGCAGGGCGTGAGATAACATGGCGGGGCACGACCGCCTCCCTATAGTGCCGCGTGGAGCACGATCGAGGCTCGTCCTTGCTGCGGTGACTACCATTGCGTGGTGAGGGGGAAGATTATGATTTTTTATATTTCTATCCAATCACAATTTAACACACATTCATAACAACCAATAAATTTAATTTAAATCTTTACATTTCAATATCTCATCACTTCTTTTCAGTCTACCATACCACACATTTGTTATCATTTTACATATTAGACTTTACATCTCATTATACATCCATTTTTCACATGCCATACCACATGCCCTTAGCCATTAGAGCATATATTAAATGTACTGGAAAAAACAATTATACGAAGTACTATTTTTTCTATTGTTGCATATTTCCGTAGGACAACTACAAAGGGGAGTATGTAAAGTTATAAGATTTGAGAATTGAATTTCGGTACTATGAAAGTCTTATTCTTTATAATAGTTTTTTGTGCCACTGAGCAAAGACAGATCTGTCAAACACTAGACTAAGAGTATACAATAATTTAATCATTTCACAATCCTGTAGGGTTAGTGTATGGGAATGCTCGGCGTAGGTGCTTATTTAGATATATGTAGTTCATATTGATTCACTATCCTTTCTATAAATATAAACCAAATACAGAATAATGTCAAATATTTTAAACTAATTTGAAATACAAAGTAAATGTGATTAGTTTGGGAGGATGGAATATATCACAAATTATACGCTACAGCCGGATGTACCAGAATTTTAGTATAACCGGCAATTAGAACGATCGAAGTAGAAGGGCAAACCGACGAAGATCAGTCCGACCGAAGAAGAAGAGCCACTGTCTGGAAAAGGAGAGGTGACGATAATTAGTCCGATCGAAGAAGAAGAGCCACTTTCCGGCAAAGATTTGTCCGATGGAAGAAGAAGAGCTCCGTCCCTATTCAGTACTCAGTCCTCCAGGTTGACGGATGCAAAACCCTAGCGAGTTGCTCTGGTCAGGCGGGTGGGAGTAAAAGAAAGGGCTTAGTCTTCAGTTACGGGTATGCATTTTGTTTTGTTTGAAAATGAACACGAAGTAGGTTATTTATAAAAGAATATTATCATTATATAGAATAAATCTGTGAAAAATGAACAGTACATTATTTTAAAATGAGTACTATATTATTCTCGTAAAGAGTATTATGCTATTTTTGGATGGGTACTACAGTATTTCTAAATAAACACTTATATCTTTTACAAGAATAAATACTAACTTCAAAACGAGTACTGCCCAACAGTACCTTAGTACCTTACTTTTAGTATAGCCAGAGCCCGAATGTACCATATATTGGAAATATATTTTTGAATTGAGCAATGCTAGGGGTACACCATTTGGTGTATCCCTAATGTACACCACCCCTTCTCCACCATCCATTTTTATTTTATTTTTATTTATTTTTTTTAATTTTCTTGCCTTTTTTATGTAGATAAGGAAGGGGTGGGAGACAAATGGAGCATTTTTCTTCTGAATTTTCATCCTAACCCCTGTTTCGTAAGGAGTTTTTACTTGAACTCAAGAAAGAGGCGGAACCTACAGGCTACAATCCTAATCGAATAAGTGAAAGATTTTGGTCATCGTGAGTGGACTGCGTGAGCCGTCCAAATTTGTACTCTCCCGTTCCACGGGGCTGTCCATGCTCATCACCTGTTCGACGAAATTCGTTTAACAGTTCCACTACCTCTCTCGTCTAATCGTCTCTGTTTCCGGATTGCCGCCGCGTGCCGCACATCCACCGGCAATGTCGAACGCCGTTATAATCCCGAGCGACACCTTCAAGCTAGGCTTCATCGGAGCCGGAAAGTTGGCCGAGAGCATTGCGAGAGGCGTTGTAAAGTCGGGTGTGCTGCCGCCTTCTCGTATTCGGACGGCCCACGGCGGCGCTGCTCGCCGCACCGCCTTCGAGTCATTTGGCGTCACTGTCTACGACCACAACAATCAGGTTATGTTTCTGCCATTTTCTTGTTAAATATGCGATCTTTACACTCGTTCTTGGTTCTTTCCAATCTTTACTCTGCATAAATCTCAACCAACAATGTGCGTAACTCATAGCTCACCCTAATTGAAGCTTTATTTGGATGTATATTGAGAGCAGGTTGTTGAAGATAGTGATGTGATCATATTCTCCGTGAAGCCGCAAGTCGGTATGCTTTGTCATTTCCTCTATCCTCTCCAACATTTCATAATGGGAGCATTAATTTTCCATCAGTAAGATAATTTGTTAGAAAGGAGAGGGACCTATGGACTTTTACATTAACTCAGTATGCTCTTCATTGCATCGGTATGCTATGCCACTTTTCCTTACGCCAAGATTAAACCAAATAACCTTAAATGGCGCGGCACTTCTGGATAAAAATTGGGTTTTGCCCAACTGTATTCTAGCTAAGCAATCAAAATGAGTGTTTATGTGTTTGAGGACAAAAATCAAAATAACTGCCATCATTCATGTCCAATTATGCACACAAGAAAATGTCTTCATTTAGGACTTCTTGTGCTTTTCATGATACTGGAAAGACAAAACATTCCCATAATTTTCAATCTTGGGAGTGGGATAGTTCAATGGACTGTCATGTATTCCTTCAACCCTAGCCGCATTTTATGTTTCAAACCATTTTTTGAATAATCATTCTTTTTTATTATCCTGTTCGTATCATGATACCTTCCTCGTACGCAGTAAAAAATGTGCTATTACAACTGAAGCCCATTCTTACCGAGAAACACCTACTGGTGTCAGTTGCTGCAGGTGTCAAATTAAAAGACTTGCAGGTTTATCTTGCACTCATAGTTTTATTTGTCTATTGATTTGGCTTTAAAAATTCATTTGTAAATCAAGATGTAAAACCCTTTGCTCTATCATTTGTGAGTCTCTTGGAAACCGCTTCTCTACTTTCAAGTAGGGGCTCACCCTTCCCTGACCCCACTTTTGTGGGGTTATACTGGGTTGTTGTTGTATGCGACTTCAATGGCGTTTAGTTATTTATTTGTGGTAGTCCATCATGGCATAATAGCTCCTCTTCACGTCTTTTGTGCCTACTTGGTATTTTTTTCCTTGGCTAATATTTTCCCCAAAGGAAAATTCAGTGAATCAGTAGAGCATTGTCTCTATTCCTTTTGCAACATAGAGAGTAGTAACTCAGAGATTTTGAAAAAAGGGGGTATCTTTAGACTACTGAGAAGCAAATGCTATTTCTTAAACACAGATAAGATCCTAAAACCTGGTGGAGGTTAACCGAGTCTTATTTGGGGCATTAAATATTTCACAAGTTATATTATATTATTGTTGATTTCTTATTGTTAAATGTTTCAATTAATTAAATCTTTGTAGTAGTGGATCCTAAGGACTAGGTTATTATAATCCCACTAATGTCACATGTCAGTTCTTCCCAATATAATAGTACCACAGTAGTAGTTAGTTGTTACTTGACTAGTGGGTAGTTAGTTGAGTCTATAATCTATATAAGGAGTACTCCCTATGTCTTCAACTTTAATTTTCACTGCAATAGCAAGGATTTCAGGACGAAAATTTTTAGTAATGTTTTCAAGAATATCAATCAATATTCTTGATTAACAAAGGTTTAAGGATTTGTTCAACTTGTTTTTGTTTAGAGTTTCTGGTTTCTAGCAAACACACAAATGAAGGACATCCTTCATTCAAATCTTATGTTTTAAAATCTTTTAAGGACATCCTACAAGGCTTACTCAAATCACTATGTTGATTTTTGTCCGATGATTGTCTGATGATTCTTTTATTAATTAACTAATTGAGGTGATTGATTGTTTTGCAAGGATTGGGCAGGTAATAATAGATTTATTAGAGTGATGCCAAACACTCCAGCAGCTGTTGGTGAGGCAGCTTCTGGTATGTATTACATTTTTTGCTTGGTAAACTGGGAACTTGATAAGACTTTGTCCAAGGTTTTAATTTTGATCTCGAAATCAGTTGATATACTTATAATGTATTACTCTTTTATTGGTAAAACATTTATTCCGACTTTCTCATGGAGACTTTCATTTGCTTGCTTTCTTTCTACTACAAGTATCTACTACCACATTTGCGCTGAAAAGAGATTCTTGTTTTTAGTACTCAAAACATCATTACAAACAAAAACATGCTTCGGGGTGGGAGTGGATGTAGATTATGTTTATCGCAGCGTGTGAATTGCATTGTTTCTAATTCAACTGTCTAAAATAGTCATAAGCTTGGGGAGTGCGGCAACAAAAGAAGACGGAGAACTGATTTCATTGCTGTTTGGATCTATTGGGAAAGTCTGGAAAGCAGATGAGAAATTGTTTGATGCAGTCACAGGTCTAAGGTATGTATGTTGCTCCCTTTTTTTGCAAGAATATTTACAATGGCACAGTAAACGGTCCACGAATTGTTTTGTATGTACATTTTGTGGTTTTTTTTATAAATATTTCTTTGTTAATTAAATCAGTGGAAGTGGACCAGCATACGTATATTTAGCCATAGAGGCATTGGCTGATGGAGGGGTGGCTGCTGGGCTTCCTAGAGATCTCGCGCTCGGTCTTGCTTCTCAAACCGTAGGTTCATCCTACTTAAATGGATTTATGTTTTTCTCTATATAATGCATTCTTCTTGAATTACCCACTACAAAGATTTCTGTGAAGTTGTTACAATTTCAGGCCAAAGTTTGAGTGTGGTGTTATGTTTGCAGGTACTGGGGGCAGCAACCATGGTGAGCAATGCAGGAAAGCACCCTGGTCAGCTTAAAGATGATGTGGCCTCAGCTGGTGGAACCACCATTGCTGGGATTCATGAGCTGGAGAAGGCCGGGTTTCGTGGGGTGTTGATGAATGCTGTTTTAGCTGCAGCCAAACGCAGCCGAGATCTCTCCCAGAACTAAATCTCATTTTTTCCCTAATTTATCAGATCACTCTTTGTTCTTGCTGACCTAATTGTCTTTCATTCTAGGCTGCTAGTTTTTTCCCTGTAGAACAATGGGTTTCCATTTTCGTGCTCTTGGGTAGGTTCAAATAAGGCATAATACCAAAAACCAGATTTTCAATTTTGTGCTTCTTCAGAAATCTTTATCAATGTGTTGTAATACGCGCATCCGGTTTGATCCTCCCCAATGTCAAGAGAAGGTGACCCCGAGTTTGCGAAAGTGGGTTGCATAAAAAAAATTTTGGTGCTCTTAAAAGCAAAATGAGAAGAAGAAATGAATCTAAACATAAGAAATCAAATGCATTGTATTATTAAAAAGCATGGAGATTGTGATCCAAAGGAGCAATTATGAATGACTCAATTCATTCTTTATCTTGCAACAAATTACTGACCATTTTAACCAGAGGCAAAGTGCCCTTCCTAATTATTTCCAGCCTAGAAGCATTGGAGGCATGAGACAAGAGGGAGAGCCCAAAGAACATGAGCTCCGGGAGGAAGAGCCGCGATGACAAGAACCCATGCCAATAACGAGGCTCCAGATCAAAAAAAGCATCAAAAAACCTTCTCAACCCGGGCAAATCAAGCCTCAACAGAACATCCATACCAAAACAGAAGAACTCCCTTTGGTGCCTCCTCTCTTTAGGCCACAAGTCTCTCCAAACAGATGCCGACAATTCATCACCCCCAAGGCTTCTTCTGCTTCCATAGCCACCAAGGCACTGGATGATTGCTTCAGCAACAATCGGAGCTGCAGCCAGTGTCCTTGCCACCATATACCCAGTTGAGGGATGAACCATGCCCGCGGTCCCACCAATCCCTACAACCCTTTGGGGGATCACCGGCAAGGGACCACCCATTGGAATCAGACAACGCTCATCTTCTTCAACCCTCTTCACCTTGATTCCTAAGTGTCTCAAACGGAGCTCCATTCTTTCCTGAATATCCCTCATGTCTAAACCAGGTCGAGCCACGAGGGAAGTTTCTTCAAGGAATATCCTGTCTGAGGAGAATGGCATTGCGTAAAGAAAGGTTGGAAGCATCTTGTTTCTCTCCTTCAGTTCCCCTGAATTTAGATGGGAGTCGCGCCAGTCCATGAAAACCATCTTGTTCAGATCAAAGGGGTGTTCCTCCACTTCTGCTACAATTCCATAGGCAACTTGGTACCCGGGATTATAAGGCTTATTGTACTGAACCAGACATCTAGAGAAACCGGTGGCATCAAGAACCACAGTTGCCTGAATAGTGACACCGTCACTGCAAACCAACACAGATTTTGATTCTTCATGAACGACATCCATGACCTTGGCTTGATGGAACTTAACGCCGTTTGCGATGCATTTCTGCATCATTTTGGACTTGAGCTTCTTCCTGTTGACGCGCCCGTAAGGTCTGTCAAGGTCTTTAGTCGTGTGGTCATCGATGTACACATCAGCTCCAGACCAGGTGTAGTCGAGGCAATCCAGTAGATCCATGGCCTCAAACTCATCCACCCAAACTCCGTAATTGTTGGGCCAGATCAATTGGGGGGAAGGGTCAATAGAACAAACTGACAGTCCCGCTTCGGAGACTCGCTGTGCAACAGCCAGTCCGGCGGGGCCACTCCCGACCACGGCCAGATCCACCACAGCCCCTTTCGAGGGGTCATACATAGGCAGCTCAAAATCAAGATTTTCCAACTTGGTCGCAGGTACGAGGTCCAGTAGGGCACCAGTGGCCCTAACGCGGCCGAAACCTCCGCTAGTCTTCTTCCAACAACCACTCAGGATTCCATGTTTCTGGGTCTTAAAGGAGGTGGCTTTAACGGCGAACTTATGATGCGGTTGCAGAAATTCGAGCTCATTTGGGATCTTTAACAAAGTATCCATTACTTCTCAACAAATTCGCAGTTCTTGAGTTCAAGAACTCGGGGGATGCGGAAAGATGCAGACAAAAAGGAGGAGGATAAGCGAGATGGGCGGATTAGGTTTGAGTAGATTTTCAAGAAATTCCACAGAAACTAGGCACAATAATTAGAAAAATTCAGGGGAAATATGAAGATTTGGTCTTACCATGTAGCAGGCGAGCTAGTGGTGACTGGTGAGCAGGAGATGCTTTGTGGTGGGAACAAGAAATCGCATGTCCTACGGTTCTGGTTTGGATTCTCCTCTCCCCAACTTTTTAATTTCATAATAGTACCTCTGTACCGCTTTATTCGTCTACTTTTGACTTTTAGAACTGTTCATTTAAGCACTTTGATTCATCAAATTCTCTCAATGTGTAAGCCTAAATATAGTCATGTGTGATCTTCTTTGATTTGTCTTAACATATAGATTATTAATATATAATTTCTATAATTTTTTAATATACAAATTACAAGATAAAATGGATTAAAGAAACGCATTGAATGGTGTGTACAATTGAAAGTGGACAAATACTCTGGGACGGAGGAAGTAACTAACCATTCTTAATAGAGGAATGCTAGGGGTACACCATTTGGACATTTGGTGTGCCCCATTTGTACACCAACAATTATAGCCATAAATTTTCTTTTATATTTTTAATTTTTTTTTCTTTTCTTGCTTTTGTGTGGTGGAGATGGAGGGGGTACAAATAGGGTACAAAAATTGGTGTACCCTGGCATTTTTGTTCTTAATATTCTTCCTTCCAACAAGAGGAATGCTAGGGGTACCTCATTTGGGGTACCCCATTTTGTACACCATGCATCCTAGCCCTTCATTTATTTTTTTATTTTTAATTTTTTTTCCCTCTCTTGCTTTGTGTGGTGGAGATGGAGGGGGTACAAATGGGGTACCCCAAATGGTGTACCCCTAGCATTTTTGTTCCAACAATAGTCTTCTCGTTTATTATTTATAGAGTCAAATTTTATTTAATTTATTGGTGTATTTTCATTGCCCGTTTGATAAATAATACAGTCATGTCACATCTAATTTTATAGATATTTTCATGTAATTTTTAAATATATAATTTATATTTTTTAATTTTATATAATTTTTCATATAAAATGATTTGAAAATAACTATAGTCAAACATCGTAATGCGCAGTAAAAATATTATTGTTGAACGGCGAGAGTATAATTTATAACGAAGTACTCCGTATATATCACTTTCATTTATTTTTCAATACATCTAAAAAAGTCATACTCTGTAACTAATCCTTTAATATAATATTTGAGAGTTGGATGTTTAGAATGTTGACATGTGTCAATTTTAGAGTTCTATTGTTTTGACAAGTAAGCATATACACGTGTCTCTTCTTCCGCCTAATTAGCCGGAGCTTCACAGACGCAAACTCACAAACGCGATCAAAAGGAAAGAAATTGTTTCTCCGTGTAAATCTTCTTCTGGATACACATTCAAGGACGCAATCCAAGACGATCCGAAGAATCTACCCTCACCTTCTCTTATTCGTCGAAGGAAAGAGTTCAATTTCCCCGATCTTCTCCATCTAAAAGGAAACCTTTGGATTCGGGAGATCTGAGCTCTCTATTCCGTCTTCTCTTCTTCGCTGAAGGAAACCCAATATGCGCCTCAATCTTCTCTCTTAATTCAGATCCAAAATACCAAAATTGAAATTCCAAATTGAGAATGGAGATTTATCGTCAAAAGAGATCGAGCATTTTTGAGGATTTGACGTCATCTTCTCTGTCGTCGTCCCCTCGAGCGCAAAAAGAATCAGCTGTTCATCTTTCTGTCCGCCCAGATCCATCATCAGTTGTTCATCTTTCTGTCCGCCCTGATCCATCACCAGTTTCTTCTCCGTCTCATCGCCACTGGACAAAGAGGTTCTTTTTTATATAAAAAATTATTCAAAGTTTATATTTTTAGATATTTTGAATGGAGGATTCGGACTTCAAAATTACTTATTTGAATTATGATGAAAAAGCCATTTTGTAAATTTGTTTCATTTATTCTTCACCTTATTCATTTACTCTCTACTAATTTAAAATTTAATTGTGCTTTTCTCTTTGTATATATAGGGAGATTAGTGGGCAGTGGACTTTGTTGGTGGATAGACTAGGTAGCATTAATCATAGGTGTAAGTATGGTGTGACCCCTGTGTTCAGTTAGCAAAAAGATTGGGAACTGTAGTAAGCATTGGTTAACACCACCTTTGATCAAATTCATATAAAAATATTGGTTTTAATAAACTACTCCCACATTCAGATAGGGGATTGTATTGGGTTGTTGTAATGCTCCCATATTGGTTTTAATTTGTCCTTTTCATAACAAATCATTTATTCCTTGTTTGACTTCTTTAAGGTGAAAAAAATCTCTATCTGATCATATTACCAAAGATGAAGGTAAAGTGAAAATGTTAACACCCTCTCACCTTGCAATTTGAAGCACATTGTAAGCATTTGAATCGTTAAATTTCTTCATACTATCCAGCAATGTTGTGTTCTCACACTGTGCCTTTTTTTATTACATTTTGATTTTGATTATTTAACTATTGGTAATTAAACAATTAAGACTACATGTTAGCATTCCCCGTATGTGCCACTCTTAGTGTTTTGATGAAAAACCAAACACTTTTTAAAGAAAAAGCTTTATGAACCTAATGGCAGCCTCTTCAATCTCATTCACGGTTAGCTAGCTCTTGCTTCTACTTTTGCTTTCATTTATTTTATTATGGGTTTTGTTTTATGCTAGAATCTGTGTCTAAAAAATAAATAAAGTATCACGAGTTAATAAGGTTTTAGTCCCAATGTCCCTTCAACTTCCTTTGAAATAATTTTTTAATTTCAAGTTCTCAAACAACCAATGAATTAAAAGTCACTTTTCCATATTTAATTTTACTGCTTTGTGATATTTGAATATGTTCTGTATACATAAATTGATAATCTTCAAGTTGAAGTTTAGATTTTAGGTGCAAATATATCTAATTTTTATTGTATACATGTGATCTTTAAAGATACTGGATCCTAAATTTTGATGATATTACAACACATAAGATGGAGAACACACAGTATACAATGCCATCAAGGGTGTTGATGATGGAGCGGATTGGTTTGTACCAACGTGTAGTTGTGGGTCAAAAGTGGCCCCACATAATGTCTCTTACTCTTGCAACGACTGTAAAAAACACGTAGTAAATGTGATTCCAAGGTAAATCAAACTAAAAACATAAATCTTCCTTTCTTCCATTAGAAAATCTCATTTTAAATAAGTTAGATTCAGATACTTTGGGAAACTGATCGTGGTTTGAATATACCCAGATATGAAATTAAGGCTAGAGTAAATGATGCATCCGATAGTGTAAGTTTTCTAATATTTGAGAACGTTAGATGTTTGTTGTTTGCATATAAATCCACACCCTAGATGATGAAGTTCTGTGAGGTATGTACAACTGTCTTTTATACTATCTAACCGACTCATTAAATGTTTGGTGTTTGATATATCTTTCTTAATTCTATCAAACTTTTCCTTTGAAGTTTGAAGTTTATGAACACCATTTAAGAAATTGAAATCTCCCTTATTGATGTTCATAAATACTGTCAGAGGATGTATAGTGAGGAAGCGTGCAGCGCGATGTCTTCAATCAAATTTTGGTGGATAAATCGTTTATTTTCAAGGTTGAGGTCAGGTATTCAAGCTTCAATGAGTTTCAGCCATCATACAATGTGATGGACATATATTTTAATGATTGAATCATAGCAAAATATATGGATTTTCACACTACGTTCTTCACTCCTTAGGTTTAGAATATTAAAATTTAGTCAAAGTTAATAACATTTATATGTTACAAGATTGAATAGATTATATTAGTAATTTCTTTCTCTTATCTTGAATACAGGTTGAAAACACAATTGGATTTTCAACTGGTGGAAAGGCAGTGACACAAGGTATTTCAACTGAGGAGGCGTCATACTACATAAAGGTTTTAAAGAACAAATTATATTGATTCGCTCAGGTTGTGGTTAGGTGTAATAATTATGATTACTTCTGACTTAAACATGCATTATGATTCTTGGTCTCTTTGGTAAGTCTAAAACCTCAGTTACATCATCAAGGGAGACTCGAGACCATATTTAGGTTTGGGAACGAACTAGGCATACATATAATGTCATAACTTAGTTGAGCATTGACGTGATCCTATACCATAATATAGGGTCATCAATGGATATTTTAGTACACACCTATACAATTATATAAGAGGTGTAGTGAAAAATGTCAAAACGCACATGACCGATAATATGTTACCGAGAATATGTTGTACTTTATATATAGGGTAATCTGCTAATCTTATATCACTACAAAAAAAGAAGGCAATACCGACAGGGGTCAATATGTCGCTAATGGTTAAATATCTGTCGCTACTCGCTTTTACCGACAGATAATTGTCTGTCGCTAAGCTGTCGCTAAAAACTCCGTCAGTAAAAGTATTACCGACAGATAAAATATACTGTCGCTAAAATAGTGTAATAGCGACAGACCAAAGATGTCGCTAAAAAAGAGAGAAGTACCGACAAAATTAAACATATATGTCGCTAAAAAATGAATTACCGACAAAACAAAGTGTGGGTAAATCCTTCTTTTCTATTAGTAATACCTTGTTTTTACCAACATTAAAATTTATTATAACTGTCGCTAAAAATTAGATTACTGACAAAAAAATGTGTGAGCAAACCATTTTTTTCTGTCGATAATAGCTTATTTTGACCAACATTTACATTTATTATAATTGTTACTAATACCAACTATTTAAGTGATATTAAACAATTTCATTGACAAATAAAAAATAATATTCATACTTGTATTAACAACAATACATAATACGATAACATTTCAAAGGGTTACAACTAATCCATTTACTAGAATGTAAACCAACATCTCAAAAGTAGTTCATCGTTTAAGCTAAAGTATAAACAGTCAAAGTGAACTAAAATAAAATACGCATCGATATGAAAGATATAGTCCAAAGCTTTAATGCTCGTCACTGTGTACATGTTCAAGTTCATCGCTCTCAGCTTCATCATCTTTGTTCCATCGATCCTCATCATGACTTTTCTCCATTTTTGTCTTCTCCCACTACATTTTCAAAAACTTCATCACGAGCAGGTGCACCAACTTCTACATCTTTCAAAGTATCCAACTCTTTAAGAATTAACTCTTGTAAAATTATGAATAACTTACCAATGAATAAGGGTATAATTTCCACTATGTGGCTTCTTTCTTCCAATGTTTTCACCTAAATAAAAATCATTAAGAACGAAATAGGTTGAAAACTATTTCATGATTATATGTACTTTTTTTGAGACCATGAAAGAATAAAACGTCTCTGCTCAAGACTCACCCATTTTTCCAAGTAACAAAGCCCATCTATTAAGGGCCATTTCTTCATCATTTTGCGTATACATAGAAAAACCTACATTGACTTCTATAACTTAACAAAAACCTACATACACTATTAAATTATATGATAAGAATATTTTAATTTAATTTGAATACCTGGGTTTGATAGATTTGGTATGGTCTTCTCGGAGAATAAGGAGCGACAGATTGATGTTTGTTGTAGTAGAGAATCCTTCTTTGAATTGGCAAGACCACTTTTTTCCATATTCAAAAAACCTTGTAATACACACAATTTGCCTTATATTCATTATGTATGTCATAAATTAATCAAAATGTATAATTGTATCTTACAAGTAGCTGACTGCTTGAAATCACTTCCTTATTTTGGTTCTTCATGACATTTTTTCCTGTACCTTTCATAGTCTAATACAATTATACGGAGTAAACATTATTTTTTTTAATAGAGACATGAAATGAACAAACAATGAGATTCAAGAATTCAATATATGAAGCAAATTTAGTGAAAAAAAAAAATTTCTTGATCCTTTAGCACCTTTAGAACAAAATTCAGTATCCATAAAGGAAAACTTGAATGGATAGTCATGTTATGTGCTTTCATATCAGTTCCTAAGCAAAGATTTATAAACTAGAATTCACGATTAAGCACATAAGCATCTAGGAAACACAAAAATCAGCTTGAATATCACGGAAAAATTGCACAGATTTTTTAAAATGACACTTATTAAGATCAGATTTTTCTTAAAATCAGCACTTTAAGCATCAAAAACATCATATAAACATCATGATATGCTTATAAATGTTGTCCCTAAGAAATCCATATCAATAATATTCCATACTTCAAGCAACGAAGCACTCTAAAGGACCAAAAATCAGTATGAGTAGTGCAGATTTTTGAAAAATCAGCAAGTAGAAATTAATTTTTTTTTGAATATTTAGCTTTTAAATGCTTCAAAATCAGCACAGAATTCACACATAAGAAATCCATACATGTGGTACTCATAAAAATATGAACAAATCAACTTTTTGGAAACTTATACCACCAATTAGATACTCAAATTAACAAGAAAACATGCAGAAAATAGTGTCAAAATAGATTTTTTAAAACAAAATTGGCCTGAAATATCTCATAATTTAAAATAAAGAACCTAAACATAATATAGACGGCTACTACTCATCGTAATCATATAATGTATCATCTTCAGTTCAATTTCCTAGCCAATGACTTCAAAAGAAATAGTTTTTGCATTGCTATGAAACACCTAAAAGAGGTCAAAATTTGAGATAAACAGAAGGTTGAAGGGTACTCTGGTATTATGCACATCAAAGTTACACACTACGGTAAACATTCAGGAGACGAAAGATCCAAAAAAGTTCATAGCACTGAAAAGGTCTTTGATAGGAGTGTATTTTAACATCAATGAAATACAATTTATATACATTGAAACTTGTTCGTGTTAAACAACCAGTAAGTATAATGAATCAAAAACCGTAAATAAACTACCTGGTGATAATATGTAGGTACCATGTAAGAATAATAAAATTTCCCCAATTGTGATAGAAGTGAGACACTATCAAAGCCCAAACAGGTGGTTTGGACAAAATTTGTCTCCATGGAATAGATTTTATAGGTTCTTTGGAAACACCGTTGCTAAGACGAAGAAGGTGAGGAAGTGTAGCCGACATACCTGATTATGGTGTGACGATTGAAGAACACGCTCAGATGAAGGAGACGAAGAGGAGTTCCGAGCTTCCCGCTGCGTCGCAGAGGAGTTCCGAACTTCCGAGCTTCCGCGATGACGATCTCCTGTTCTCGATCGATGAGTCGCTGTGGCCGGCGGTTTTAGGAGATTAGAATTAGGCATTTAGTGGTGGCGACAAGGGAGTATATTGAATGTATGTTTATACAATTAGGTTTTTGTTTTTATTATTATTATTATTATTATTATTATTATTATTATCGCTTATTTTGCACTTTTGTCTTTTTTGGGTTTTTCTACTTATTTACAGTTTTTTAGCTTTAAATTAAGATATTTAAATTAAATTTTAATATTAATAAAATCAATATCGACAGATAAAACTTTGTTGCTAAAACTATAAACAATACCAACAGAAAAATATTTGTTTCTAATTCTTTAAACAATATCGACAGATATGTTTTTTGTTGCAAATACTATTAACAATACTAACACACAAAGTTTTGTCGCTAAAACTATAAGCAATACCGACAGATAAAGTTTTGTTGCTAAAACGATAACCTATAGCGACAGATATTACCCTTTCTGTGGATCAAATAGTTTTTACCTTCAAATAATTTTATCTGTCGGTAATATTCCTTTTTTAGCGACAAATAAGATTTTTGTCACTAAGGATCTGTCGGTAATGCCCTCTTTTTTTGTAGTGTATATCCTTTAATATAAAATTTGAGAGTTGATTAATGAGAATGATGACATGTGTCACTTAAAGATGTTTATTTTAATGCCACATCAGCGCGTCTTTAATTTGTTCGTTTTCATTCATAGGGCTTCAGCTGCCGTGCCATCCAACCGGAAGAAAGAAATTTCTCAGACTAGGAAGATCTCGCCTTTCCTGCTACATCGCATGAAATCTGTGTTTTCTCATATTTACTCAAGGATTTAAGAAGTGCAAAAGTAGAAACTTCCATCTTCGCGAAGGAAAGTCTACAAATTAGGTTTGTTTTGATTTTTTTTGTATTTCTGTACAGTAGAGATAAATCCGGTCTTGAGATTACGTTTAGCTCTAGGTTCGAATTGAAGAACCTCGGATCTGGATCAGCGCCAACAGTTTGTCCGCCAGTGTAGCTTTGAACGAAGGCGGATGAATGAAATGACTAAGGTTAGACGGAGCTGCTCCAGGTTTTTGCAATTCAATTGTGATGCTCAAATTATAATTTGGGGTTCCACTAATTATTAGTTTCAAACATGCAATCCGATAATTTTTTTTTGGAATTTTGTATTTGATGTGAGTATAGTGGTAAAGAGAAGAACAATTTTTATTGAAAAGTTCACATACGCAATCCACCATATATTTTCTGTTGAATTTGGTTTGAAATCATATACTTCATATACTACGTATGTTCTTAGAATAGTTGACATTATGTAGCAGTAAATACTCATCTCCACTCTGTAGAATTGCCCAAGCGGACTCAGAGTGAAAAAAAGTCCTAATTACTCTGTATTGTTTTTGGTGAAAAAACACTTTCCGTTTCTATTTCCACCTGGAGACCCATCTAGATAGGTCAACCTTCCCGTTGCGTTTTTATAAATCAAATTATAAACTTCAGCGATCTAATTTCCTTGCTTAATTGATATGTCTTCCAAAATCATTTACCCTTTGTTGAAGATCACTCTGACGAGTGAATGTTGAAGAGTTTTGTTTCGGGTGATTCAACTGAATACCTTGCCGACGTACAATGATGACAAGGGGATGGATTCAATTGAGACGGTACTCATGGACCAACACGTAAGTAGATCATTACATGCGTGTTTCTTTTATTTATTGAACCAATGATTATATAACCCGTGTTTCAAAGTTCTTCTAAATCAATATTTCTGAGTATTTATTGGCGAGTGTTCTTTGTGTTTGATGAATCAATGGTGTGCGTGCTTCAAGTTTCTTTTAGCCAAACAGTGAATTTCTAATCTTGAACCAATCAAGAATTTTGCACAATTGTGTCAATGAGTTGGTTTAGTAAATTAACACGGTTGGTTCAATCAGTTGTCTTTCCATTGTTATTGTTTAATAAAGTGTTTCCAATGTTCTGTTTGTTCCAATTTTCTTTTAACAGATCAGTGTCTTTCCATTCATGAAGCAATTCACTATTCTGCACAGTAATTTGAGTCAGTTGGTTCAATAAACACAGATGGTTTAGTCAGAACACAGGACTAATAACTGAACAAATGAGGTCCAGCAGCAATAAGAATATTCAAGGAATAATGATGCTTAAAAGAAAGTAAGTCCTAAAAAATCAATCTACTTGCAGTAAGAAAACATATAAAACAAAAACAAATTATATCAAGCATGCTAAAACAGTCATAGACATTCAACCATAAAATTACAATCCAACACAATGAATATATAAATCACAACAATCATTTCTGCAAAATGGTATGGAACTAACCTAAGGAGGTGCATGAATTTTAAATTAAGCTTTATTATGAAGAGAAGAATTTGACTCAAATCCAGATTCAAAATTTTTAAGTTTTCCAAACATGGAATTTGAGCTAAATCCGGATTTGAAATCCAAATCCATGTTTCCAAACATACCATAACAGAATTCTGAATCAGAACTTCGTAGTGTTGCAACATATTCACCTATATGTTAGTATATTACTCCGTACATAGTTTTGCATAGATGCCTTAATACATTGGTTCAATAAACTCAGTTGGTTCAATCAGAATACTGGCATTATATTTGTTTAATGCTCAGTGTCTTTCCATTGTTATTGTTTAAAAAAGTGTTATGTTAAGAGTGTTTATATACCCAATCTTCTGTGTGTTTCAAGATTCTTTTAACTAAACAGTGTATTTTCAATGTTGAACCAATCAATTATTTTACACATTTATTTGAGTATATTGGTTCAATACACACATTTGGTTCAACCAGAGCATTGGATTTGCCTTGCCTCAACACTCAGTGTCTTTCCATTGTTATTGTTCAAGTGAGTCTCAGTGGCTCAGTGTAAGATTGTTATGTAATTATTTCTAAATGTGAAAAGAAACACATATGATGGATGGATGAATCTAAAAAAATAAAATATATAAATATATCCATTGATTATGATCTTTTTTGGAGATTGTGTAGGAAACTATTATCCATGCCACAATTTGAAAAGGCTTGGTGTGAATTTTTGAAAAGAGAATAAAGGGAGGTTCGGTATATGTCTTTGCTTATTTTGGCGCCGGCAATAGGAGTGGATATTATCGCACTCCAAGACTTGAGTTTTGCTTGAAGTTTTGAGATGAGTCAGTATTTGCCTTTGCTTATATTATTTTATATATAAATGTACTCCGTATTCTTTTATGTTACTATGGTGAAAAAAGTTGCACTCACTGGTGCATTAACTACTACCCAAGACGTTGCAATAAGTAAGCTGTTAAATTTAATGTGTCATGTTGCTTTAGTTTAGTATTTATCATTGGTAAAATATATACTATTTATTTCAACATATGCTTTGTTATTGCCTTAATTTTTTTCCCAGTTTGGATGCAAATTAGGGTTGCTTATTGGTGCACAATCCCTTTATGACAAGATAATAAAACATATTTTCCCCATTCGCCTAATAGAGTGTTTTCAAAGGGTAATTAACTCTTTTGATATGGATGTTAAGTATAGTTTATCTTGGAAATGAAAAGTACAAGCACACCAAATAAAACAACTCCTCAATTTTCTTTCTGGGATAGACAAAAAGGGAACGGTGGACGGTCACAAAAATCATGTAGCCACAAAAATCATGTATGGTGCACAAGCTCGAGTTTTATCTCATACGGGAGAAGAATCATTGTAGTTTTTAAAGATTAGTTTATTTATCATAACGCCATGTGATCATTTATCCAAGTTTTCTAATAATACAGGGTAATTTACCTAAATAATACTAAAATATAGTAACTTTCTCAATGTAATACGATATGTTTTTATTTTCCAATGTAGAACCACTGATCATTGTTCATTGGTCATTGTTCAAGTAAATATCCAGCGCCATTGAACATTGTTCAAACTAAATGTCCACCATCACGGGATATTATTTAAGTTATATTTAGAGAATAAGAACGTTTAAATACTACATTGAAAAATGAAATATGTTTTAGTACTATTTAGTTCAAATTTCACATAATACGGGAGATCGAGAAAAAAATCATTTTTTTGGAATTAATGCGGGGGAATCATACATTTTTGGTAGAGGAATGCTAGGGGTACACCATTTGGTGTACCCCATTTGCCCCCCACCCCTTTCATAACCACTCATTTCAATTTGATTTTTATTTACTCATTTTTTTAATTTTCTCTTGCCTATTTGAGTGGTTATGGAGGGGGTGAGGGACAAATGGGTTACACCTCCTAGCATTTTCCTTTTTGGTAATGTGAATTAATGTAGGCAAGAAGATTTATGTTTTATTCAAATAGTAAAACATTGTTTTCTTGAATTAATGCGGAGGAGATAAATTATAAAATATAATGTTTTTTTTTTTTGAATTTATGCGGGGAGAAGAAGTAAATAGATAAAAAATTTAGCAAGCTTAAATCATTTGTATTTTACATTTAAATGAAATGCTTCATTTAAAAGTCATGTCACTTTTATATTTTATATTATGGGTGAGCAAGTACTGAACCGATGCAGAAAATTTCCAAAAAAATCGAGAAATTCGAACCGAAAAGATTCTGCTAAAACACTGTAACTATACCAAATCGGTATTCAGCCTCGGTCCACTTTATGTTGCAGACTTGCAGTTTCACGGGTGAAACCAAGAAAGGATAAAAATTGTTAGTTTTAGATGACAACGATAACTCTTGCAAATGCACAAAAAATGAGTTTTACCCTGAATTTTTCCAAAAAAATTGGATTTGATTAATACATTTATATATTCTTTTCAATTTCTATATACATGAATTTAAGTTAGCATACTATGATTATGTTGTATCTAACATTCTATATTATATTTACCTTTATTTTTAAATTATTTATTTAAAACAAAAAATTAGTAGAGTTAAAAAATAACATGTGTTCGATCCCGTGCGTGGCACGGGTCAAATACTAGTAATTATTATAATACGGAGTATGAAATAGTGAGAATAGTTTGTATTCTCCTATGCTATAGTTTAAAAAGGTAGTCCACTTACTTATTTATCAAATACTAGTAATTAACAAAAATAGATAAAATATAATTAAAATTTAACGATGTGAATAGTAACTCGAAGGATTATTTAAAAAGGGGGAGAGAATTACCCATGTCCAATCAATTATGTAGAATCTCTACCTACTTTCATTCTTTAAGGCCAACACCCATATTCATTCTCTTTTCTTCTGTCGTTTCTATTTTCTTTCAGCTAAAAATTTTACTGGTAAAGGGGTGCCGTAACAAGAGCAAACAACGAAAATGTTGATAGAGAAGAGAGGAAAGATTGAACGAGAAACCTATGTTGCAGGATACTTCTGGTTTGTATTCTCCTCCCCAACAAACCTTTTCATTTCATATTAACTAACCATTAGAGTACTGGAATTGAGGCATAGGACTTTAGATTTTCCTCATTGCTACATCAGTTTTAACTTACCTCACAGTTTCAGTGGAAGTGGGTTTGAAGCATCGGGCTTCAAACTGAGGCTTCAAATTTTCATTTTTTACATTTTAAATACACATCTTCTAAAATTAAATTCATAAAATTTAATTATTTAATTATTTAAAAGAACTGAAACAAGAATAGTTCATTAAAAAATTACATTCATTATAAAAATTACATTCATTAAATAAAAAATTACATTTATTAAATAAAAAAATTACATTCATGACAAAATAAATAAAATACTTGAATAATAATTTTTTAAAGAAAGATGATAGATAGAGAGAGATTTGTATTTGTGTTGAATTTAAAAAAAAATCAATTTATAGAGAAGAAAAGAGAAAAAAAGAAGGAGAAAAAGAGGGGGGAAATGAGTTCCAATGCCTTCAAGCCGCGTCAAATGTTTGATCAATAATTTTAACAGGGCATAATGGAGTGGGGGCAGTAATTAATGCCCCAAGCGTCAAAAGGAGCTTAACGTGCCTGGTCGTCATGCCCATTACCACTGCTCTTATTATTTGCGGAATAGATACATTGAATAATGAAATGTGGACATAAAATACAAAAATGTGCTGCCAGGTACTCTCGGTTTTGTGATAAGAACTCACAGGTCCCATCTTTTTTAAAAATATACTCCGGGGTACCTTTAATTATATGAAAACTAACTTCAGGGAGACTTTCCGTCCATCCTTCCGTCAAATTCATTTTCTTCGTTAACTTTTCATCTGCTTCTTCCCAAAAATTGCTGTCAGGTACCCTCAATTTTGTAGAAATAACTTTCAGGTCCCATCATTTTTAAAAATACTCCGGGTACTCTAAAATATCCAAAAACTTGCTTTGGAAGAATTTTCCTTTATTATTATTATTATTATTATTATTATTACTACTACTACTACTACTATTATTATTGTGTGACTATTACTATTGTTATTAATATTATTATTATATTATTATTATTGTGATTGTTATTATTATTACTATTACTAGTGTTAGTATTATTACATAGTATCATTATTATTAGTCACTTCATCATTATCTTCCACAGTTGTAACTTGATGCCGCGTTGCCTATTGAGTTGCATTGGATTTTCGCTACCCGCACTAGAATAATAATAATAAATATAATAATAATAATAATAATAATAATAATAATTATCGTGATAGTAATAGTAATAGCAATGATAATCGCAATAATAATAATAATAATAATAAAATGAAAAAAAAGGAAAACCCCTCATAGTAACTTTTTGAATATTTTAGAGTACCCCGCAGTATATTTTTAAAAATGATGGGACCTGAAAGTTACTTTTATAAAATTGGGGGTACCTAACAGCAATTTTTAGAAACAAAATGATGAAAAGTTAACAGAGAAAATGAATTTGACGGAGGGATGGACGGAAAGTCTCCCCGGAGTTAGTTTTCGGATAATTAAAGGTACCACGGAGTATATTTTTCAAAAAAGATGGGACTTGTGAATTCTTATCACAAAACCGAGGGTAACCGAGAGCAATTTTCTGCATAAAATATATGGCATCCCTCCCTCGTAAATCTTGTCATGAGTAATTTTTATTAGTCCATCATATTTTGATCGTATTTATGTAAAAATATACTCCCTTCGTTCAACAAAAAAGTTCAATTTTGATGTATTTTTGGTCAAACAATTACATGCTTTGACCGTAAATTAAATATAATTTAAATAAAGAAATGTTTACAAAATTTGAGATATCAAAACTAAATCCTAAGATAAATCCAATTATATTAAATTTATTTTATAGTTCAATATACCTTTCTCACAATTTGTAGTCAAAACATCTAAATATTTGACTAAATACTACTCCGTATTTAAAATGAGAACTTTTTTGTGGGACAGAGAGAGTATATTTTTTGTGAATATTTATGTAAATTTTTTCTATTTCTTATAAATTTTTTATGTTGTTAGGGGAACAATTTCATATTTTAATTTTACAATTACATACTTCCTTCTTCCTTAAATTAACTTCTCTACTTCACTTTTATAGTCAAACTTTTAAACTTTAAACATAGGCCAAATAGCTTTGGTGCCCCATGTGGTTTGAAAAATTGGCACAAATACCCCCTCTGTTTCCAAAACTTATATCTAAAGTCCTTGTGGTTTCAAAACATTGCAACCACACCCCCTCTGATCATTTTTCGGCCATTTTCCGGCGAAGAGGGGGTATTGGTGCATAATTTTAAACCATATGGGGCATTCGTGCTCATTTCTTATTTTAGTTTATTATTTTTGTTTTCCCTTTTTTTAAATATTTTGTATCTCTTTTTCCTTTTCCTAGATTTTTTTAAAAAATATACTTTCAATTTTTATAACATTTTAAAAATTTTAAAATTCTTTGTGTTTGAAATAAAAATATAAATAAAAAAAATTAACATACATTACATCTATCTCAAATTAAATATTTTCACTTTTTATTTTTTAGAATAATATTTTGGAAAATTCAAAAAAAACCTAGAATAAAAAAATAAAAATACGGAAAAAACGAAATGAAAAAAATTAAAATACGCAAAAAAAAAGTCTTATACAAAAAAATTTGGACGCGCCTAAAAAAGTCCTTATAATTGAGATGTCCAAAAAAGATATTCATTTTAATTTTTGTATTATTTTTTTCTTATTTTATTCCTCATTTTTTCGAAGGTCTAAAAAAAATTCGATAAAAAACAAAAATTGTTAATTTCAAACGTACATATGCATTATATTTTATTTTTTCAAACAAAAATAACTTTAAATTTTAAGACTATTATAAAAAAAATTTAAAAAAAGCCTAATTAATAATGAAACAAAAAAAAGAAAAATGGAAAAAACAAAAAATAAACGAGAAATAAAAATCAGCATTGATACCCCCTATGGATTAGAAAATATGCACCAATGCCCTCTTCTTCGCCGGAAAAATGGTCGAAAAATGATCAGAGGGGGCACAGGTGTAGCGTTTTGAAATCACAGGGACTTTAGAAATAAGTTTTGAAAATAGAGGGGGTATTGGTGCCTATTTTGCAAACCACGAGGGGTACCGACGCTATTTGGCCTTTAAACATACATTACGAAAAAAGACATTAAATTTTTTTATAAATTTAATATAAATAGATTATTTTTAAAACATAGTTTTAAAATATTTTATTTTTATAATATACATTTATATATAATTAAAGATATTATTAGTCAATTTGTTCTTTTAGACACCGTAAAAAGTAAAAGAAAAGAGTTAATACTCATTTTGGTCACTCTAATTTGGTCCATGTTAGTTCTTTTGAGTCAAATTAGTCCTTAAACATAGAAAATATGAATCTAGTTAATTAGTCATTCGAACCAAATTATTTGTCTCGTTAATTAATGCAAGAGCAATAACCCTATGTATTAGTTTTTGTGTAAATTAACGTGTGACCTTAAAATTTTAGAAGATAAATTTTGAATAAAGAACCAATTTGATTCACATTTCCTAGTTATATGAACTAAATTGATTAAAGTGAACTTACATGGACCAAATTGACTTATGAGTACACTTATTGGAGCTAAGAGCCTCTATTTTAGTGTTTAAACTTTTAATTTCTAATTTCTTCCAATTCTTTTCAATTTTATCCCATTTTTTCAGTTCTTCTAGTTTTTTGAAGTTTTTTCAAGCTATTCTCATTTTGCTTCAAACTCCTTCTACCCCCAACTAATTATTCTAAAAATAATATATTATAAATGTGATTATTATTATTATTACAACTATTATGTTCATAACTATAATTTATAAATTATTTTTTTCATCTTACTATTTTTATGTTTCACACTCGTTATTGTTTTATATTCAACTTTTTAATATGAATAAGATAATTTTTTTGTATCTTAATATACATGATAAAATATGAAAACTTCAATATTTTAAACTATATTAAAAAATTATGGATAAATAGTTACATAAAATGTTATATTAATCTAACTTTATATAACATCCCTCACCTTTCTATTCTTTACTCAATTTTTTTCATTTTATTTATTTCAAGTTTAAATTTTGTTTTTTTCTAATTTTTATAAAAAATTTTGAAAATAAAAAATAGTTTATAGAAAAAGCCTAAAATAGGAGTAAAATATTAAATAATGTACAAAAATAAAAGTTCTATATCTTTATTCCTAAACTAGGAGTTACTATGAAAATAAAATGACAATCATGAAAGAAAAAAATAGGGTTTATTATATTACGTGACATTCCTCATATTTAAAACAAAAACTTGTACTACGTAATATATAAAGTATCATCACAAATATATTATTTTATACTCCGTAATAAATACTTAATAAATAAATTGAGGTGCAACGTAACCATAATAAATTTTTAAAATTTAATATTTTGATATTTATGCTAATTTTATATTACAATTTTTTTTCAAAAGTACTCCAATAGTTTTTTGTGCATGAAATATAATCATACGTTTTTTTTATCTTAAAGAAATTTAGTAAGGTAGCGTGATGATGATGATGATGATGATGATGATGATACTAATAATTTATAACAACAAGAATTAGAATGAGAATAATACTAAAATACACTAAAATAATTTTTTTTATAAATATTTTTTAAGTTTTCCAATTTTTTGAAGTTTTCCAATTTCTTACAGTTTTCTTTTAGTTCCATCCAGTTTCTTCCAACATCCAGCTTTTTTTTTCAAGTGATAAAGAACATGCTCTAAGTCCATGTTCCTCTCAACTTATTTTTTACTAATTACTTATTCTTACTATAATCATATCAGGTCAGAAAAAACCTTATATATAATTATATTCAGATTAGATCAGACCATATAAGAATTTTTTTGGATCAAATCAGAACCAATCAGAATAGGTGACGAAAAGAGAACATGGCCTAAGGCTCTGTTTGGTAGGCCACATCTGATTGAATCTAATTTGAATTTTTGAAGTTTTAATCTGATCTGATTGAATCTGATCTGATTGGATCTGATTATATCTGATCGGATCTCATATGGTTGGATCTGATTTGATTATTCAATCAAATCTGATTTGATTAGATCTGATTTGATTATTTTTACATTATAGCAACTGAATAGTGATATAGCAAGCACTTTTTTGCTTCATTCTCCAACCATAATTTGTTATTTTATTTTTAAGTATTGGCTAGCTAAATTTTGAGGGACTTGTCATATTTAGCAAATCAAATTCAATTTTTAGCAAACTTGCTAAAATAAAGCATGCCCTTTGAAGAAGAACAAAAGTGTTTAACTAGTTATATTATAACTTTTAGCAAGTTAAAATGATATGGTTGGAGATGCTTTCTAATATGATGGAATCTCAATTTCAAATTCATAATTTGAATTTTATGAACCAAACCAGCCTAAATAGAAAATTTAATTTTAGTAGGAAGTGAGTAGACTGTACTGGCTGAGTCAATAACTCCATTTTAGGCAACACCGCTTCCGTTGGTACCCGTTCGGTGTCCACCGCTAGACGGCGACCGGAGTGTACCCTCAGGAGATGTTCAGCCGTTGAGATCGAAAGGACGATGATGAGTTCTATTAAATTCCATCTATTTCCATCCGGGCTTAGTTCGACTTCATCCCGAGCGCCCGCCGGAGGTTTCCAATTTGTATCCCTGCGACCGCATCAGCATATCCGATTTGCGGCCCTCTCGATCGATTCCGGCAATATATCCTCTCCGGAGCAGTCCGATCAGCCTCGCCTCACCTCCATTATTGGATCTGCTCCTGTTCAACAACCCCTTCAATCGGTCATCATCACTCCTGGGCACATTAGACTCCTCACTTTCTGCGCCTGCGCAGCAGCAGTTTCAACAACCTGGCTACTTTTCTCGACGATTCCAAAGCTTCTGGACCTAAAGAGATCCGCTTCATCGCTTGAGAAGCTAATGGATGCAATGGAGGAGGAGCTTCCTGAAACAATGGCTGCAGTGCGGTTATCTGGAATGGAGATCATTGACCTGACAGCCGAGCTGAGTGAGCTCGGTCAGGATGTAACAGAAGGCGTGAAACAATCCACACGAACTGCACACTTGGCTGGGGAAAGGCTGCAGCAGTTGACGCGGGGAGCTTCCCAAATGCAACCAAAGGCAGAAGGATCAGAATTGGCTAGAAATGTGAGGAGCATAAGGGAAGGGATTGTCAAAGGCCATTCAAGCTTGAAAATGCTTTTTACTCTTTTCCCATACTTGGTTTCGGCCTTCAACTTCTTCACACTCCAAGCTATGAGGTGGGGTTAATGGCTGTTCTTTTTTAAAATCAATTAACATGCCACTCCAGTACATTGCCTTCTTGTGTTATCACTTCCAAATGCAGGGGTTTCATTTAACAACCATCCAAACTTCATCTAACATGTTCATATCTTTATTCAGTTCGAGAATGACCATAATAAACACATAGGTTTAGGCGCGCATAACTCATTAATAAATAAAACATACTCCGTAGTAGGTTATATGGATATCTATACATGTGTGTGTGTCCAAGAAATTTTAATTGTGCTCTAGTTTTTGTTTCAGTTTTTCCAATTTTTGTTGGTTAAACAATTTCAGATACTACAATTGAGTTGGTTAAACAATTTCAGATACTACACTTGAATTGGTTTCAGAAACTATACTTTATTTGTTCAAACATTTTCAGTTACCACACTTTATTTGGTTAGTCAAGTTTAGATCATACACACATCATAGCATCTCTTCAGTGTTCTTGTGCACTTTTAAATATGTCTCTTATCATTTGAATGTTGTCCGGTAACATTCCCAGTCAGTCCAACTTGTCTTTACCAAGGGTGCTGCAGTTTGTAGTTGTTTCCTCCATTCTGTTTGAGCACTTCCTCCATTGCACATTGGTAACTTAGAAACACTTTATTAAGTGTTTGTTGTGCAAGCTCATCATATGTTCCTTTAGCAGCAGTGATTAACGCGGTGATTGTTTTTGGTGCTCTTTTATCGTTAAGTGAATCAACGGTTTTAGAAAATCCCAAGGCTAAGACATTAAGATCAGGGCCGCTAGGTGGCTGGTATACAAGCCAAATATTTTATCCATTAGCAGTTATTTCTTAAATAAATGCCAGGTCAGTTGTTTCTACATGTGGTCACTTTGCTTTAGTGGCAGGCAAGAGCTTATTGACCATGTCTTCTGTTACTGCTCGTATTATATTTAGAACCAGTTTTGTTTCCGTAATCCCCACAATCCTGTTTTTACTAGATCTTTTTGCTTGTCCTTAAAACGGGAATGCGAAGATACCTATCTTTCCATCCCATATAACTTCCCCATCAATTTCAAATACAGGCCGACCCACAAATGCCAAGAACATAAATTTTTGTACGAACTTTAATTGAACTGCTCTATACGATTACAGTTCATTAGGTTATCTGTAGTAAGTGCTTGTTTCCTTAGAATAAAACACCGCTTCTAATCTATGTGTGAAAGTAATTGAATGTAGGGTTTGTTAGCATTGCCATTAAGTTTATATGACTAGCAAAACTGCAAATGTTTAAGCTTACCATCTTTTATCAATAGTGATTTGATTGCATTGGACTGCTTCTTTATCTGCTTTGTTTTCAACCATCTAAGCGCGGGTAGTCTTTGATACCCCCACTGAATGCTCTGTCAATATTTATGGGCAGGCCTGCATTCACTCCGTTTATAGTTTTGCTCCAAAAAGTGTGTACAGTTCACGTAGAAACATTGAACTTCATTGCCACTTGTTTACCTAGATCTTTCTGAAGAACATCCCCTTTTTTGCTTTGGGCAATAAAAAATCCACAAGCCTGCTTCTTTGATTGTTATTTAGGCGTCCCTTCATGTTCGTACTTTCACTTTCTTCTTCGCTATCTATGTCACTTTTTTTGTATTTGCAGGAGAGGTGCTTTAAATTGAGATCAAAAGAGTTACAAGGGCTTACATTCAGATCCCAGAAGTGCGGAGTGTGGATAACTATTTTTTGTATCTGCAGCATCCTCCATTTTCTCGGAAGAACAAAAGTAGAGATAGGAAGTTTAATTGGAGCATTTATTGCTGCTGAAAACTTGTGGCTTCTTAGGCGTTCTGTTATGGGGCATGGCCGCTGCCGGGTGACCACGCGCCCTGTCACGGGGCGACCATGGTGACACAGGTGGCATGACGGAGGTGTGATGAGTTGAGTGTGATGGATCCCAATACACTTGCATTTTTAAAATAATCACTACTCAACCTTCTATAATCTTTAGATTCTTTACATTCCCTTTTCCGAAAAAATTTATAATTTCTAATTTTTATCTCCTCTCAATAGATCCCCACAAATAAACCCCTACTTTAACTTGTTCTTAAATTGTTAAAGACTCCTGGACATGAATAGTCCAAATAGTTTCAACACTGCCTCTAATTCGTTACTCAATTTTATAAAAATTGGTGTCAACAGACCTATTTTAAACCAATTCACAAGACCTATTTTAAACCAATTCACAACAACAGCACCCACTTTCAAATTCAGGTTTGATTTTGTTTCAGAAAAAGAACACGAAACACGTTCCCAATCACAACTTGACGTACAACTTGACCCTGACACCGAGCTGGTACGTAGCAAGAATAAGCATATGAAGGAGGTGCTAGATAAAACCACGAAGTCGGGCATAACCTAGTGGATTGAGGACGAGGAGGTTGCCCTAGCTGAGCCTATATTGACACCTCTAAGGATCAAAAGATCGGTACGCTCTTTATTTGAAGTTTTTTTAAACTTGCAGAATTTTCTTTAATTTTTTTTTGCACCGTAAACACAATTTCTTACCAAAACCGTCAATGTATCATACATATAACAATGTATATCACCCAAACGATTTTTTAAAGAAGAAAAAACTGTTTAAGTAAGAAATGATATAATTGATGGTGTCCTCTTCATTTATCATCTTCTTATGTAGAGTCTTGTTCCTTGCTCTCCAAATCCCAAAGACACAAGCAGCCCAAATTGCATAACTTTTCATTCTTCTTCCTCTCTCCTTGATCAGCTGTAGGGCCTCCCCAAGATGCATTAATGAATTAGCATGATACTGCCATCCAAACCTTCCAAAGGAATTTTCTTAGCCTCTCTTTGGTTGGTAGTCTACCCCTCATTAACAGCCAAAAGACAACCTGGAACTTGTGAGGAGTAATTTTATTCCAAACCCAATTTCTCCATTTAGAATGACTTTATCTCCTTGCAACCACTCATAACCTGCCATGGTGAAATATGGTTGTGTGTTACTCATACCTCTAAATAAATCCCTTGACTTGATCATCTCCCTCCAGTAATGGCAAGAATTCAGTTTTGGAATACATTTTCTTTAAATTTACTGTTTAAATGTTTTATAAGTTGTATACTTGGTTTTAAATTTTTTTAAAAAACCTTCATAATTTTCTTTAAATTGTATACTTTAAACGCTTTAAAATGAAATACTTAAATTTTAATACTCTTAAAACATTTTGTAGGTTAGATTGTCGAAATCAAACATTCTCAGGATGCGGGTTCAGAGTCATTTTTTCGCGGTGATGGGCTTGGGCGAGACATGCAAGCAAAGATTTTCAAGTTCGTCAAGATGTTGAATGAGCACAACAACAAAAGAAAGAGTGGCCACACCCCACAACGACGAGATGGTAACAAACGTCGCCTTGATGCAATATACTTGGGAAAGGAGTGCAATTACGCATCTCAAGGCATTGCAACTCATGCGTACTTTCACAAAGTGGCATCCCGTGTTCAAACTCCAAGTCTCAAAATGCTCGAAGATGAATTCTTCAATCGATGTTGTTCGGTACATTCCTCCTCAAGAGTCCAAATAACTTTGAACGACTCAGGTGAATAGTACTTCATGGCTCCCGTATGTAGCCGGCCGCCTGGTCCTAATAACCAAAGAAAATGTTTCATAACCTCGCGCACTAGCGACTTCGATAAAAGGTTGGATGGGATGTTAACGTACGTGAAAAAATTTTATTGACCTCCAAGAAAAATAATACAACAACAATATGCAGTTGTTGTATACTCCAACAGATTACTTTACCGGGTGCAAAAGAGAATATGTCGAGAAGACAAAGGAGAAAATGCAGAAGCAATGGAAGATGGACGATAATTTGTTGGAGTGAGTGCTTGACACTAGAGATGAGGTGAATAATGTGGTCAAGAATGTTGAAAAATAATCGTGGAATGAAAATGCTAGAATTAAATAATAAGTGCGGAAATGAAAACCGAAGAACGACGCAAAGATTTTTATACTGGTTTTCCACAACTTGTGGCTAATTCAGTCCTTGATTTCTCAAGATTTCACTACATTCATTAAGCTTAAATGTGCTTAACAAACTATTACAATTGCTCGTAGATACCCTCTCTACAAGAGTTCACATCGCTTAGACTTCTCGCCAAAGACCTCAAACGCTAAGACTAAAGATTTTTAGCGAATCGAAACACTCAACAAGAAGAAGTAATGTTCTCTCTAAGAGTAGATGGAAGTGTTACAAGTGAAGCACTATGAACAACACAAATTTATCTATTAATTTGAACAATTAATGCAATGTACGGAGTAATATTTTTTTAAAAAGATGTTATGATAATAGCAATATAAAAGGTGAAGAGTTGTTCATGAAAAATAGACTGAAAACTCCCTATTTATACCTAAGAAGTTACACTAGTCATTGGGAAAGGATTGAGTTTGATTGGACATAATATATGCAATCAAATCAAAAGATTGTCTGAATTAAAAAGGCAGAAAGTCGATCACGCAAAGACAACATTGATGTCACCTGGATTGACTTTTCATTTGGAAAGCCAAACTAGACATTAGAATGACTGACGTTCAAGAGAAAATTGATTGCTAAATCCAAAATTAATTTTTCCAAGGTCAAACCTGCCTCATATGGTCAACTCTTGAGGAAAGCCAACGATTAGCTGAAAATTGATTTTCTAAAGACAACATCGACTTCGGAAATTTTTTGAAGAAAACATTGACTTAGGTAGTGCCCACTGAAAAGTTTGAAGGGCTAAGTGTAGATAATCTGACAGCAAAATGGTGATGTTCCAAAGTAAAAATCATTTTTTTCTCACCAACAAGAGAAACAAAAACAAGGCCGGAAACCCAATACTTTAAAAACAATTTTGTGAGTTTATAATCATTTTATGCAAATGTAAAAAATGATTTTGGTAAAAAAAATATAATTTTGATTGAGCCAACAGACAAGATAAATGAAATGTTGATCTTTCAAGAGTTTTATCTAACGACCTAGTATGAGTCTTCGGTCTTGAACTCTTGAACAAGTGATTGTTTGTCTTTGCACTTCTTGATACTTGAATGCTTCAACATGCTTCTTTGGCTCTTGATTAATCTTGAAACCATCATCCCACATTGTTTGTGATCAACAACTTACTTGGGAACTCTATTATTTGTGCTTTATTAAAATCTACACAAGAAAATCATAGTATCAATATGAAAAGACATATCAATGACTTCCACACAAGGTCTCACATAGTTTAGTTATTTTTAGGTGTATTTCAAGTGTTCTTTTAGTTTAGTCTAATTAGTTTACATTTTTAAAATTGTAGTCTAGTTTTTTATTTTTAGTTATATTTTTTTTCATAATAAAGTTTTTTTCTTGAGTCTAAGTTTAGTTTTAAATTGTAAATCTATAATTTAAAAGTAAATTACCAAATGAAAATTAAAAAAAATTACTCCCTCCGTTCTCAAAAAGAGTTCCTACTTGAAAAAGTGGAAAAATAAGAAAGTGTTAAATTGTAGTTGACTTCCAATTTTGCCCTTGATGTGATGGGTAAAAGTAAGATGTGATGGGTAGGTTATTAGAGAAAAAGTATGATGTGATAGGTAGGGTATGAAAAAGTAAGGGTAAAAGTAGTTTTTTAATAGAAAGTGGAAGTATTTTGTTGGAAGTGAAAAAAATGAAAGAGGAAGTGTTTTTGAGAACGGAGGGAGTATTATTCAATAATGTGATCAAGACTCATCAAGCTTTTGCTATAAGACCCTCTCAAATAAGACGGGATGGTGGGAGTGCACTGCCAAGTGTCACTTATAGATGTCGTTTTTGCAAAATCTTTTCTATTTTTGAGAGAATGTAAAATGTAATTTGTCTATTGTGGAGGAAAATTCCTCAAGCAATTTAGATTGTATGCATTAGTAAATTGTGCACATCATGTGACACCATTAATATAAAAATAAGAGTAGGTAAAAAAATCGAAAAAAACATGGTATTATACTAAATTATAGTTTGAATTATACGGAGTTTGAATGTTGAAAATAAAAATGGTTGAAATTTGTTTATATGAGAAAAAATTTGTGACACAAATTTATATCTTTAATAAAGTAACTATGATTTTCTAGGACATCTAACACAAAGAATAAAAAGATCTTTGTAAGATGGAAGTATAAACATATGATGGGATTGTGGCAAGGAAGACTGAAAAGTTAAACATTACTTTGGAGTTTGGACAAAGAGATTATTTATGTTGAGATTATTCAAATAAATGTTTCTATATTTTAAAAAAGAAAATAATTATTAATAACAAAAATGCAAAACAATTATTGAAAAGTATTTCAAACAAAAAATTCAGATCATAATCTACTATCAGAGGTTATAAAAGTCATAAGATTATTTTTTAAAGAGTATTTTTTGGTATGAAGATATACACCACCAGAATGAACTTCAACTCCAGAAGAAAAGTATATTTTAGACCGTCTCATATATAGATGATGGTTTGGGAGGTACCAAGCCTACCAAATTTCCTCTACCCCTAAATATGAAGCTCTCATTGAATTTTGGACAAAAACTTCCTCATCTCAAACATTATAGGCGTCTCAATGGGAGACTTCTCTACCTTGGTCATACAAGACCATATTCAAACGTGCGTGGGTGGGGGAGGGGGGAAGGGGAGGAGATTGAGATACAATAATTGTTATTTCCACATGTATCTTTTCGTATTCTTTTTGTCTATAAATACTCGTAGCCTAGCTTAGGCTGCATTTTGTTTGCCTGATCTGATATGATATTTTGAAGATATGATCTAGACTGGTCTGATCTGCACTGATCTGATTGCAGTTCTAATTAAAGTTGTTTCTGATTTGATCTGATCCAGTCTGATCTGATCTATTATAATAAGAATAAGTAATAAGTAGAAAAAATAAGTTAAACGGAACGCTGCTTTAGTCCTGTAATAGAATAACAAGATAGAGAAAGTTGTTGAGATATTTTTCTAAACCAATGTTTCTCTTCATATTCCAAATGATCTTTGAATCATGTATTTTACATTTTCATTGAATATTTAATTAAATAAAATAATCAAATCATTACGTTTGGTAAAATATTTCATACATTAAATGGTATATAAATGTATACTTTTTAAATTTTTAAACCAAAAACTCTGTTTTTGGGACGGAGGTAACATTAAATTGGTTTATTATGATTTTAACAATATTTATATTACTCCCTCCATTCCACAAAACTCTTCCAGTTTTGACTTTGGGGGGAAATAAGGAAAATGTAATTTTGGTTGACTTTCTAATTTTGCCCCTGATGTGATGGGAAAAAGTAAGATGTGATAGTTTGGTTATTAGTGAAAAAGTATGATGTGATAGGTATGGTATGAAAAACAGAAAAAGTAAAGGTGAAAGTGGTTTTTTAATAGAAAGTGGAAGTATTTTATGGAAAACAAAAAAACGAAAGAGAAAGAGTTTTGTGGAACGGAGGGAGTAATTTTACTATATTGGCAAGGAAGATATGGCACGGCAAATGACATAGAAAAGGGACTTTCCCAAATTTGAAACTTTGCCGTGGAGCTCAATATTATTGTTAGGTTGTTGTATTCAAACTAATAAACTATTGGGTGAATGAGTGGGCATTATTATATTCAATCATGCAATGGTTTTCGGAATTGAAAGGCAATTACACGATCTCTTGTCAACCATATTATTGTTATTGTTCCTTAATAAATACGGAGCACGCTTTCTATTTGACCAGACGATACGTACAAGGACAACAAGCTAAGGCCATCTCTCTCTTTACCATTGTTAGTACAAACCCAACAAACAATCCACATATAGTATAACAAATCCACGTATAGTATCCTATCACCCTTCGTCCTTAAATAATTTACACATTTTACAGTTTAAATACCACGGGAACTTTTATTTATATGCGTGTTTTTGTTGATTATATTATTCGATAGAATAAAATATTTTATCACCCCTTATTTTATCACGGTCTTGAAAACAAATTAAAGCACGACCTCAATTACGAATCATGGTTTGAAAATCTGACCAAAAAGAGAGCTAAATATAGTTAGTGTAGCTAGCCGAATAGCTCGATTTATCTCTTTTCAGCGATTGTCTAATCGGGTCTGAGTAGACCTTCCGGAATGAGATTTATCTTATTCAATAGACAATTTTTGTTAGTTTGAATTTCCAAAAAAGAAAAAAATAGAGTGTGGACAAAGAAAAATGTTAGAAAGATTGAGAAGCATGCTTCCAATCAATTCATCTTTGTCCATATATCACGGCTCGATCACATCATTATTGGTTGATTAATTCAGAAGGAAGCCACAAACCCCAAAATTGGGATTCTCCTAGCATTGATTATTGAATTGTCCCATCGCATGCATGTTGGGCTACTATTGTAATGTCCAATCGTAATAATACGAGTACTACGTGCTCGATCGAGTAGTATGTACGTTCTTCGATCATCAGAGACGTATTTGTGATTAATTAATTAATGGATGTGTCTGCCTTGCCTTCTTCATAGATACGAGTAGAAGAAACTGTCATCACCTTCTTCTCATGCATGGCCCATGGCCACTTATGTCGCCGTTGGCGGTTAACGACTAACTACTACTCCTTCCTCTTAACAATGTGGCCGGAACGCGCGGTAATAATGCTCAA